TGAAAAATGGGGGAAAGATCTGAGTAGACGTTTCTCAAAAGAAGACTCCAGATGGCAGATAGATATGTGAAAAGATGCTCAACATCACTGATCATCAGAGAAATGCAAATCAAAACTACAGTGAGTTATCTTACCCCAGTTAAAATGGGTTTTATCCAAAAGACGGGCAATAACCAATGCTGGCGAGCATGTGGAGAAAAGGAAACCTTCTCACACTGTTAGAGGGAATGTAAATTAGTATAACCACTATGGGAAACAGTTTGGAGGTTCCTCAAAAAGAAATAGAAAACAAACAAAAAAGCTGTAAAAATAGAGCTATCACATGATCCAGCAATCCATTGCTAGGTATATACCTAAAAGAAATCAGTACATTGAAGAGATATCTGCACTCCCATGTTTATTGCAGGACTGTTTATCATAGTCATGATTTGGAAACAACCTAAATGTTCATCAACAGATAAATGGATAAAGAAAATGGAGTCCATATACCCAGTGGAGTACTGTTCTGCCATAAAAAAGAATGAGAACCAGTCATTTGCAACAACCTATGTGGAATTGGAGGTCATTATGTTAAGTAAAATAAGCCGGGCACAGAAAGGCAAGCTTCACATGTTCTCACTTATTTGTGGGAGCTAAAAATTAAAACAATTAAACTCATGGAGATAGAGTAGAGTGATGGTTACCAGAGGCTGGGACGGGTGGTGGGGTGGTGGTAAGGGGGAAGTGGAGATGGTTAATGGCTACAGAAAAAATAGAAAGAATGAATAAGATCTAGTATTTGATAGCACAGCAGGGTGACTGTAATCAATAATAATGTAATTGTACATTTAAAAATAATTAAATGAATAGGATTGAATTGTTTGTGACACAGAGAATAAATGCTTGAGGGAGGTGGTCACTTCATTTACCCTGATGTGATCATTATACATTATATGCCTGTATCAAAATATCTTCTATACCTCATAAATATATGCACCTACCATATACCCACAAAAATTTAAAATTTAATAAATAGCAAGTGTGTGTCTATATACTAGCAATGAATACCTGGTCACCAAAATCAAAAATAAAATATAAAGTTGCTCAAAAAAATAATACAGATGTCAATCTAACAAAATGTATATTGGATCTTATATGCTGTAAACTATAAAATGCCAGTGAAAGAAGTCAAAGAAGTTCCTTATAAATGGAGAGACGTACTTAAACATATCCATGAATTTTTATAGTAAATTTGTCCACTTAGCCAAAAACTAGAAATGATCCAGATGTCTTTGAGTGGTTAGACAGGCTGTGATACATTCATTCCATGGAATACTACTCAGCAATAAAAAGAATTGATTATTGATATATACAGCAATCTTGATGAAAATTATGCTGAGTGAAAGAGCCAATCATAAAGTATTACTTACAATTCCATTTATATAACATTCTTTTTAAAATTGTTTTTATTTTTATTTTTATTTTATTTTGAGACAATGTCTCATGGACAGACAGGAAGACTCAGAATTTATAGAGATATCACTACTCCCCAAATGGATATACAGGTTTTATGTAATTTCTGTTAAAATCTCAGTCTTTTTATAGATACAGACAAGTTTATTCTAAAATATAAATAGAAAGGCAAAGGAAATACAATAGCTAAAACAATTATGAAAAGGAAGAATGAAGTCATAGTGATTAGTCTGCTTGATATCAAATGTACTAATTTACATTATTGTGGCTTTATTATATAGTCACAATAATAAAGACTGTGTGGTGTTGGTGAAGGAATAGAAGGTAGAACCCAGAAGTAGATCCACAAGTGTGCCCAACTGATTTTTGACAAAAGCAATTGAATTTGAAAGCAATCCAATGGAGGGCAGATAGCCTCTTCAGTAAATGGTCCAGGAGCAAGTGGATGACCAGAGGCATGTAATCTCACCTCCACCTAAACCCCACACTTCATACAAAAAAATTAACCCCGAATAAATCAGAGACTGAAATGTGAAACATAAGGCAATAAAACATTTAGGGAAACAGAAAACCAGAAAATTTTTGAAATGCAGGACTAGGCAAAGAGACATCAAAAGCAAGATTCCTGAGAAAGAAAAAATGATAAATTCGACATCATTAAAATGAAAATTTTTTGATTTGTGAAAGAGCCTGATAGAGGATGGAAGGACAAACTACAGAGAAAATATTTACAGACTCCACATCTAAAAAAGGACTGGTATGTAGAATATACAAAGGACTCTCAAAACTCCGGAGTGAAAAAAAAATCAAACCATTCAGTTAGAATGTGAACTGAAGACAGGGAGAGAGAGACAGACATTTCACTGAAAAGGGTATATAGAAGGAAGAGATGCACATGAAAAAATTAGTTCAGCCCCATTAGCTCTGGGGAAATGGAAATGAAAACCACAATGAGATATCATTTGCTTATTAAGATGGCTGAAGTAAAAAATAGTGACAACACTAAGTGATAGTAAAAATTCAGTGAAACTGGATCTCACATCCATTGCTGGTGGGATCGTCTGGCATTCTAGAAAACAGTTCGTAACAAACTAAGCGTGCAGCTCATACCATTCGGCAATGGCGCACATGATCATTTATCCCAGAGAATTGAACAACATAAATTCACACAAAAGCATGTACATGAATGTTATAGTACATTTGTCAAAATAGCCAAAAACTAGAAATGATCCAGATGTCTTTGAGTGGTTAGACAGACTGTGATACATTCATTCCATGGAATACTACTCAGCAATAAAAAATAATTGATTATTGATATATATAGCAATCTTGATGAGAATTATGCTGAGTGAAAAAGCCAATCATAAAATACGATATATAATGATTCCATTTATAAAACATTCTTTTTTAAATTATTTTTATTTTTATTTTATTTTGAGACAGCGTCTCACTCTGTCACCCAGGCTAGAGTGCAGTGGCACAATCTCTTCTCACTGCTACCTCTGCCTCCTGGGCTCAGGTGATCCTCCTACCTCAGCCTCTCCAGTAGCGAGGACCACAGGTGCGCACCACCACACCTGGCTAGTGTGTGCCGCCACACCTGGCTAAATTTTTTTTGTATTTTTTCGTAGAGATGGCATTTAATCACATTGCCCAGGCTGGTTTTGAACTCCTGAGCTCAAGCAAGCTGCCTGGCTTGACATTCCAAAGTGCTGGGGTTACAGGCACTTACCACCAGGCCCAGTGCTATATAACCTTCTTGAAATGACAAAATTATAGAAATAGAGGACAGATTCATAGTTACCAGGGATTAAGAAGAGGGTTGGAGGGAATGGTTGGAAGGGAACCAGATGTGACTATAAAAGGGCAACATGAGGGACCCCGGTGATGATTAAAATGTTTTGTATCTTGACTGTGTCAGTATCAGTATCCTAGTTGTCACAGTATACTGTAGTTTTGAAAGATGTTGTTATTGATGGGTTCTAGGTAAAGGGCGTGTGTGATCTCTCTATTCTTTCTTTTAACTGAATGTGAATCTACAATTATTTTTGTTTCAAACACAGTTTTTTTCTTAATCCTGCATAATCTACTCTCCTAACAATGATTCTTGTTACTATCTTACTGCATAGGAATAGTGCAGACTATGGATTCCAGTGCAAAACTCTCTGGGTTTAATTCCCAGTTCTGTGATGTTTCAGCAGGGTGTCCTTAGGCAAATTGCTTTACCTTTCTGTTATCAATTTTCTCATTTGTAATATGGGAAGCAATAATTTTAATGCTAATAATACTTCTCTCATAGGGTTATTGTAAGGATTAAATAAATTTTAACATGTAAAAGAATAGATTCTGGCAGTCATATGTGGTCACATTAAGTAGGATTGGTGGTGGTGATGGTGGTGGTTGCTATATTACCTTTTGTAATTTTTATTTTAACACAGTTGATATGACGTGTTTACATTTGCAGATTCTATTTTTCTCTTAAGCCATGTAGTTTTTTTTTTAACAATTAGTAAGATTTGAATCAAAAATAAAGAACTTTGGCAACCCCTCTGCCCTGCCAACTCCCAAATTTACAACCGAAATGTCACAATTCAAACAAAGTTTTAAGTTACTGCCTAAACTTAATTTTTAAAAAATTTCTTGTTTTCATGTCTAGTTTGTAGCCAGAACTACTGGACTGGAGTTGTTTGCCGCACCCCCTTAGCTGCATAGTGCCCTGGGGGCTCAAGCAGAACTTTGTCCCAGCCACTACTTTGGGAAGCACAAAGGCTGAATGCTTCCAGCCATTCTGGTGACATTTCTAACATGATTGAATGACGATATCTTTGGGAATGTGTCTGTATACTTTCAGATCTGCAGGGCCCCAGTCACCATCTGTTGAAATACTTCATCTAGAATTGAACTATACCCCTTAGAAGGCAGTTGAGTGACATGTTTAGCCTCTCCAAGCTTATCCTCGGCCCAGATTCTATTTATGACGAGTAATTGGGAGCTGCCATCATTATGTCCAAAGCATAATTTAGGACACTGTGATTTAATGATGTATATTGGCAGTTTTGAGTCATTTATGTGAATTGAGGTAGTTTCATGCTGTCAGGAGAATTCTTATGTAATATAATGAATGAAATAGCATCCCTCTTTGTGAGTTTCAGCATCCAAGATTCAAATCGTAGTTAAATTTAAAATAAATTGAAGTTTTCTCTGTGACAAATGCGAAGTCTAAAATAATCTAGACGAGGGTAGATGGTATAGGCAAGGGGTATCATTTGTAACTCATTTTTCAAAAATGAAACTGGTATTACTTTTTAAGCTTTCAGTAATTGAATAATCATATGTTAGGTAAGTAAAAAGCCTACCTAAGACCCTCCCCAAGCCATTTTATAATTCTAAACTCAGGCTGTCTTCTGGTTTGGATTTGCTGTTAGAAAGTAAATCTTTGTTGTGGTTAAGGAAGAAATATTCAAGACTGTGTAATTCCGTCATGGGCTTCTTGCCTTTTTTTTTTGTTTTTTTCAAACAAATTCCTTATTTTTGTTTCTGGATTGCAGCCATAATACGAAAACAACATCTTGGTTAGACCCTCGGTGCCTGAACAAGCAGCAGAAGCCTCTGGAAGAGTGTGAAGATGATGGTAAGGGGCCAGGCAGGTCTTGGGTTAAGTGAATTGGGGGCACTGTTCACATGTGCAAATTTTAAAGAGTCGTAGCCAGGTCAGTCGGGTCTTAGGTTGAGTTTTTAAAAGGTAATCCAATTTCTGCTAAATGGACTGTGGTTTACAAAAGCAGGAGGAAAGTCAGAGTTGTTTCAAGAGAAGAATTTGTTTACACATGAAGACAGATGCATACTAATATCTCCATTAGGAGCAGAACAGTCAAACTGTTCAAATGAAGATACATCCTCTGTCTTCAGGAACTTAGAGAAAATTCTAGAAAGTCTCTAGGAATAAAGAAATCAGAGATGCTCTGGTCACTCACACATTCTCAGCTTTAACCCTACCTTTTAAAAGTCTTAGGGGAAAAAGTTGGGAGTTTTTCTTGAACTCTACTTATTTCACATACTTCCCTAGTCTTGGAGGTAGGGGAAACAGATCTAGATATGTTTGAGAATCTCTGTGTAACTTACAGTATACCCACAATACGTAGTAAGTGTATTCTTTTGAGACAGAGGTTGAGGTGTTACCTAGAGCACCACTCTCCCTGTTAATCTTGGAAATGAACTAACGGGCTGTAAGAGCTTTAGTTGAAAAAGTTCATTTCAAGGCTTTGGGTTTTTTAATTACTTCTCCAAAATGAAAAAAAAAAAAAAATTAAAACAGAGCTACTGTGTCCCTTTTCAGTACACCAACGTCTATCCCAAGTTTTACCAAAATTATTTTTTGATGTGGAAAAATGAAAAGGGAAATGGTTTGCTTTGCTCTGCTTTGCTACTCATTATTCAAGTCTGGCATGTGAATTAGTAGTATAAATATTAAATATGTATTTTACTGTAAGATAACAGAACGTTATTACTTTGTCCTATAGTACAGAATTGTTGTATATATAAACTTGAAGATTTTTTGAAAATGCAAGGCAGTAAAGTATGATACTGTCAAAACCTTGTACTCCACAATCCTTCTATTATACATGGTTTGCAGATTACATTAAATGACGTAGACTATTGTGTCGGTATTTATCTGAGTTACTTAAAATGGAAACAAAAGTCCTTCTAACTTAGGAGGCATGACCAAGATGCTTGTTTTATTTTGGTTGCTTTGTTTCATTCCTGAAGAAGGAATAGAACAGGTTCATTCAGCTGTGGTGTTTTGCATGCCTGGGAGATAATGGACTGTACTGATTATTTCAGTATTCTGTTTAACATACAATACCAGTTGAGTATCCCTGATCCCAAAATTTGAAGTCCAAAATGCTCCAAAATTGGCCAGGCATGGTGTGGCTCACACCTGTAATCCCAGCACTTTGGGAGGCTGAGGCAGGAGGATCACTTGAGCCAAGGAGTTTGAGACCAGCCTGGGCAACATAGTGAGATCTTGACTCTACAAATAATAAAACAAAAACTAGCTGGGTGTGTTGGCATGTGCCTGTTTTCCCAGCTACTTGGGAGGCTAAGACAAAAGGATCACCTGAGCCCAAGAGTAGGAGGCTGCAGAGAGCTGTGATTGTGCCACTACACTCCAGCCTGGGTGACAGAGAGAGACCCCGTCTTAAAGAAACAAACAAAACAACAACATGCTCCAAAATACAAAACGTTTCAAGTGTCACCATGGTGCTTAAAGGAAATGTTCACTGGAGCATTTTCAATCTTGGATTTTCAGATTAGGGATGCTGAGCCAGTAAGTATATTACACAAGTATCTCCCAATCTGAAAATATGCAAAATCTGAAACCCTTTTGATTCCAACCATTTTGGATAATACTCAACCTGCACATAAATAACCAATTTTCAAAGATCAGAGCATAAAACACATTCAACCCTAAAACTTCGTGGAACAATAATTTAATCATTTGATGCCTTATGACTTTGAAAGCAATTTAGGCAGTCATTACCATAGGGTCTTCAATGTCAATATCCTTTTTGTAATTATTCTGGGAAGGTATGAAAATGCCTGTTAATACAATATTATAAATGATAGAATATTGCAATAGCTTTTTCTGAGAAAAACTGTACATAGATTAAAAGTATTGAATAGAATTGACATTTTTGTTACCAAATCTAGTAATTTTTAATTCTTAAAATTATCTTTTTGTATTAATGTTATTTCCTTTGGAACAAGAATATATTCATACCAAATGCAATTAGTTTAGTAATTATCTCTTTAATATTAGAATTCATATATTCTGTTTCTAGTAGAAATTCTATGTCTATCTGTGTGCCTGTACGCACAAACAGTATAAATATATAATCAGATTATGATAAGTATCAATTTGCGTTTTCTGTTGCCAGTTAACGCAAAGCTGCCTTGTTATTATTTATATTATAACACAAAGCAGAAAAGCATATTGGTTGCAAATATTGCCCCTGTATTTCTTTCTGTTCTCTGTAGGTCATACATATGGGGTGTAACAGTATAGCATCATACTTAATTATTGTAAAGATTTAATATGTTCTATCTCATTTAATATTTAATTAAATATTAAATCCCATAGATTTAATATTTCGTATCTCAGAAAATCGAGAAACTAGTTTGAGATTTTGATGTTAGTGAATGACTCCTTCTGTCATTGTTGTGTCCAGTTCAGTTAGAAGCCCTCAACCTTGCCTTTGAACTCCGGGCCAATATTTTAATCCACCTGATGGATAGTGTCAACGGTTGTCTCAAAGAGACTTCTGACTCAGTCATATTAAAACCATTAAAACTGATTATCTTTCTCCCAAATTTGGTCCTCTCTAAGTGTTTCCTGTCTCCATTCCTGGTAAATTTATGCATACTCAAAATTCCCCCTTGATCTGTCACTTTTTTTCACACCTATTTCTAACCTGTGAACCAGCTAAATTCACTTGGCATCCTAAATATCTCTTGGATCCATTCACTATTTTTTTCACCGCGTCTACCATTCTCCTCTGGGGTCATGCTCATCTCCCATACAGACTCTTTTCACTCTCCTTTTTATGTTGCACTAGGAGCAATCTTTTAAAATGTAAATGTGATGATGTTATCAGTGACAACCTTCACAGGGTCTGCTTAGGAAATGCCAAGTCCATAGCTTGCTTCTCTGAGCCCTGTGTGGTCAACCTCTCTAGGTTTTCTCACACTATTTCTCTGCTCTCTGCTCTCTGCTCTTCATCCCCACTAGTCCTCATTGAGTTCCTGCCTCATGTCAGTTAAATGTGCATTTCTGTCTTAGAATACCCTTACATTTCACTATACTCTTACATTTCACAATAGTTATTGAATACTTTCTATATGTCACGTGCATCCTAGGTATGCATATCCTTCAGGTTATATTTCAGGGAATTTTTCCATGACTTTGCCCCCAAAGATATGATTAGATCACTCATGTATCTTACTCTATTGAGAACTTATCATGATTTTAATTTTAGTTTCATTCGTGTGAGCTTTGGATTTGTCTCCTATTCTGGAAAAGCAGAGATGTCTGATTGTGTTTTTTGAGACAGAGTCTCGCTCTGTTACCCAGGCTGGAGTGCAGTGGCACGATCTCTGCTCACTGCAACCTCTGCCTCCCTGTTCAAGCAATTATCCTGCCTCAGCCTCCCGAGTAGCTGGGATTACAGGTGAGCGCCACATGCCTAATTTTTTTGTATTTTTAACAGAGTCGGGGTTTCACCATGTTGGCCAGGCTGGTCTCGAACTCCCAACCTCAGGTGATCCACCCACCTTGGCCTCCCAAAGTGCTGGGATTACAGGCGTGAGACACCATGGCTGGCCCCTGATTGTGTTCATTTTGATATGTTACCTAGCATAGTGACTGGCAAGACCTATTTATCATAGGTCTTGATAAATAACTACTGAAGAAGTGAACAAATGCTCCCAAAGACATTAGATAATATACAAGTGGGCATTTTCACAGGTAACTTTGTGTAAATTAGATTCTCCTTTTAAGAAACAGTGCCAATCAAAACTTACCATTGGCATTGGAATCATTTTTAAATTAAGAGTTTACAAGGTGTCTAGGCCCATGTTGGTTATTTAAGTCAATCATTGATTGATTGGTTCATTCATTCATTCATCAACAAATACTTAGTACCTAACATGTGCAGAAAGCTACACTGGGCATTGATCCTATTGTGGTGGTGAAAACAGGCTTGATCCCTGTGTTTGTGAAGCTTATAGGAGCCACTTGCCCTATAGCTGGGGAAACATTAGGTATGAAATGATTTTTGTGTGTTCTCCTGTGTTTCCTTCTCAGTAATAAAATGTTTTACTGACAGCAAGAGGAGGAGGTCAAGAATGGAAAGGATTTGGACTTGTTTTGCTCACTGACATTTTTGAGGACATTTTAATTCTAATATTTCTGAGCTGCTTGACTTAGAAAGTGTGTGTGTGTGTGTGCGCGCGCGCGCGTGTGTGTGTGTTCTCACAAAACCAATAAAATGCCTCCCAACACTCCTTCAGGGCAGTTTTCAAGGCTTTCTTCCTTGATATATTTTATCTTGACATAATTCATCTTTCCAGCTTCTTTTTGAAAGACATCAAAGTTAGCTCATTATATAGTCCACACTCAGTTTGACCTCACCTTCCATTTTTCAAGCAGCACTGTTACTTGTAAGTTAAATAATGCTTTAATTGTGAGTATAATTGCCTCACTGATTAGAGGATTATTGAAGGATTAAAAGGACTGATATTGAAAGTCTGACAGCTTTGTTTACTCCCAATAAGGTCTGTAATAAGTGACTTCCCACTTAAGAACATTGAAACCGCAAAGGTATTTGTCATCTTTTACAACCAATCAAATCCTATTTTGACATGCAAGGAAATGAGCCATATAATTATTTTGCCAATATCAGCTCTTCCTGTTTTGTGATTTACACTGAGGTCGCGAGTTTACTATCCAAGCCAATGAAATAAGCCACAATGCAGGTAAGGACGAACTAGAGTGATGTTTGCTGCTGTTTTCCTGAGGAGATTTCCTTTCTTGGTGCTGGTGTCTGAATTTTGCTTTCTCTCTTTTCTGTCTCATTCCTGCTATTCCTTTGGAGAAGAAGGGGTACACACCGAGGAGCTGGACAGTGAACTAGGTAAACCCTTCCTGCCTGCTGCTACTGCATGACACGTGCATGACATGGCCTGCATGGTTTTTTCCCCAGTGAATTGCTTAATCCCTCTGTTTCTTTAGTTTGCACTCCTCCAGTTACGATTTTTGTTTTAGTTTATCCAGGAAAGGTCAGTCTCACAACCTGCGTGTCTGACTGCAGGCATCACGCAGAGTTGTAATATATTATGTTTACAAATAAAATGTCTGACTGAACAGAGACTAGAACGAGAGTTAGCAAACTGGTAATAGGTAGTCTTGTAAATGAGGATTGGGAAAAAACCGAAGAGATGCTTGCTGTGTCCCTTGAACTTTTGCGTAACCTGTCTCAGTCTTATTTCTTTATTTGTTTAGTGTGGATGGTTATTTGGGTAATACAAAAAAGCCAAGCAGAACAAACAAAAATCTATTAACACTAGTTTAAGGAGCATTATAGGAGCACTTGCAATAAAAGAAGGTCACTGAGGAATTGAATAGTTAAAACTTAGGATCATGTTGTTATTACATCACAGACCACATGTTGTTGACCTTGCCGTTATAGTGAGTGGTTGTTTATATAGTGATGCAGCACCTATATGTACTGTTTGCCTTCGAGTTGTGTCAATACAAATCAAGTCTTGACTACTCTAGTTATTGTTTAGGAATAATTCATGCTAGCAGATGATGCCAAATTCTTGTTTCTTTGCTATTGGAATATATTGAATTATGTTCGCTATTAAGTTCAGTCCTTTTATGTTCAACCTTGAACAACATTAAAATTAGCTTGCATTCCATCAGATACATTTACTGATGGATAGATAGGAAAGCATAAATTTCAGCTAAATTGCAGATGAAAGCCTCGGCTGATGGGAAGATTCTTTAGCAATTGAATATTGTTTAAGTAGAAGATTGTTTAACATCAGTATGAGTGGAACTGTACTAAGATTATTGAATCTGCCTGGCATTTTTGAGATTGCCTGAAGACCTGAAAATATAAATCTATTTAATACAGATTATTGTATTCATTTGGTTTTCTTTATTTTTGTTACATGAGATAAAGATAATCTGTCTTGGTTGGCTAGAATTATGATAGAATAGAACCAAGCTCTGTTTTTTGTAACATTTGAAACGTACCTGTTGTAATTGATGCACATGCCAACAATGGTCGATAACTATTGATCGATCTATTTTTAAAGATGTTTAATAAGTTGTCTTTGTGGTCATTGTGAGAGGAATGACTTAAGGTTCACCCTGAATGATAGAACAATTTGAAACTAATTTGATCGAAAAAAGAAATTGTCAATCCAATGATATCAGTTAAAGTAATGGAAAGAGACAGAAATAGGTTTTCCAGACACAAAATGAGTGTCTTAATCATTTGTTCAGCCGATTTCAACCACTCTTGCTACCTGAGTAATATGTGTGAGAGATCGCTCTGCTGTCTACTGGCAGCCAGTGGAGATAGCACAGCTGTGTACAGGGGCACAACCTTATTTGCTTCTCTGGAAATTTGAATTTGAAATTTTCAGGAAAGATGTTTCTGCATTTTACCCATATGTAACTATGATATCGTGGAGACTTGCTTATGCTGTTAAAGACTCTAAACATGAGTTGTCTTGGCTTTCTCTGGGTTCAGATCAAGCTGTCTGACTCCCCTGCTTACTGGCTATGCAAACTTTGAGAAGCTATTCACCTTCTTTTAGCTTCCCTTTCCTTATCCATAAAGACGGGCCAAAACAGGAGCTCCCATTGTCCTTATGAGGTGATTTAATGAAAGTGTGTTTTATTATTTGTCCCTGTGATCAACACATGCTATTAGCTATTTGCAGCTTTATTATTTATTACCTAATTCCCTCTTCTTGGATTTTTCCATACTTCCTTATGGTACTTTTTTCCATTAACACAGCGCAAGGGAGGAATGTGTTCTATACTATAGAAATGACCCAAATGTGTTCTTGTAGGAAGGGTAGTGATAAAAAAAAAAAAAAAAAACCTTTGATTTTTGCCTGCACATGTCCACTGTGTAAAGAGTAGCACACGTGCACACACACTGTTTTCTGTTGCATTCACTTCAGATTCTGTTGACAAGCTCACTGCTCATTTTCTTAATAAGAGGGTCCTAATTTCAAACAATAGCAACTGTCAGGTTTTCAGTGAACAATGCAATTCCAGATGTGACAAGGAAACCCTCTTTGTAATCGGCCTCTGAGAGGCGTGAGCAGTTGGCTTGGGTGTTGGACACAGATCATTTGATTATAGAGTTGTCATTTCTGAACTCTGTTGTTTGAGCTGGGTCAGTTGCTCCATTATGTACTTTGGTTTGCAGAATTTATCACATCCTCTGCAGACATCTCCCCAGAATTAAAAAGCACCTGCAGAACCTTCTTTTGGAATTATAGGGTGTTCGTATGGTGAAACCAACTAGGGGGGATAGACCCAAGAAAATAAGTTCTTCTCCCAACCAAAACTAAGTCACAGTTTTGAAATGTATCTCTGGTTTTGAACATGATTTTCAATCTATACACAGACAAATCTCTTTGAAAAGAAATTAGAACCTTTGCTCAATATTTGCTCTGTGAAGACAAAATAGTGCAGCATGAGATTTTCAGAGGCAGGAGTAGCAAGTACACAGGCCACAGACATCTGTCTTACTCCTTTTGTGCTTTCCTGGAGCAGCTGCGATTTGTGGGCACTTTCTATGTACCAGGAACTGTGCTAAGTGTTTAGAAGTATCCTTGTTTAATCCACTACTGACTTTTGAGGTAAACCCAGGAGAAAGATATGGTTCAGAGATGTTAAGTAAGTAGCCCAAAGCCACAGAGTAGTAGGTCTAAATGAAAGAACTAAAGCTCAATCTTATATCTGGGCAATGCCAAAAGGATCTTAGCCACCTGAAATCTCTGTGATAGGTTGTGCAGTCTCATCTGCTCCCTGACTGTGGTTAGTCATATGAGGATTCCTTTTTAAGAGTCTTTAGAGTGTTTGCTTAAAAAATTATAATGTCATTATTTTCTGGACTTAAATATTTTCTACCTTTTTCAGTTTTTTAGAACCAAATGGCAAATTCTAGGACAAACATCTTCCTACTTAAAATCGATGACCCATTTCTATTTTAAGCATTAGGAGACTAATTTCTATGATTAAGTTAATCACCACATTGGAAGTGAGAAACTATCTTTTCAGTTTCTGGAGTTTGCTCATCTGTTCCAAAAGATGCGTTTAAACTGACGAGTGTCCAGAGATGCTAGTTGACTGGCCCCATTTTTCAACTCTAGAATATTAAGTTGTTGACTAGGCACTAGGAAAGAAGTCACGGGTACCTTCTTTTCTAGTACTCTCCTCGGATCTCCATCAAAGCACATACCACGTGGCTGAATTTTCTGCTTAGATGATGCACTTGGCGTTTGTCTTCGTGTCCCTGATGCCTAACATACCCTCAGGCAAACAGTAGGCATTCAACAAATGTTTGTCAAATTAATAATTGAGTAACTTGAAAGCTTAATATTTCCCCTGTTTTATCTAAAGATAATCAGGCCACATATTTCAGGTTGCAGATTTTGAAAAGAGATGGTGTTTCTGTGGAACTTAATGCAGTCTCCTCACACCCACCCACCCTTCTGCCCTGTACAAATGTATGACTGTGCACCAATTTGCATTTTTTTAATCTTCGATTTCCCAACTCTTTGGAAATATTTTCCTGGTTCATTTTCATTTAAATGGTAATTTCCAGCTTTGTAAGGGGAAAGCATTTCCCAGGCATTTAATTTGCATCAGTCCGCAAGACTCAGTATATAAAAATGCCGAGTTGTATCAACATCTGCAAATTGGACCTGTCTTGCATTTTAGTAGCTTATGTGTCCTACAAGTCAAAGACTTCTTTAAAACCTGCTAAATGTTTTTTCTTTTTAATTTAGAAGAAAAGAGGGGAAAACCTGTCTCTTTGTTTGCAAACAAGTAACATGTGGAGCAAAAACCATGAAATTAATGTCTCTTGATGTGCAGCCAAATCTGAACAAAACATAAACTTTAAGTAATTAGTCTGTATAAGTTTGTGTGCATGTGCATGGCTCCACCTCAGTCTGGAACTGTTTGTAGCATATGTAAGCCTTCTGCCCTGATGACATGATCATTATTTAAATTAGTGACCACATGATTCCTTGAATTAAACAAAAATCTATTTCAAATATTTCAAGTCTGTAGTATTCTATCAAAGTTGGTCTTAATACCTACTTCTAGGACTAATTATTCACTTTAGAGTGTGGTATTACGTAAGTTTGCCTTGACTACATATCAGGGAAGCTTTAAAATTAAGTTGAATAACTGTTGTTCTACCTGAAAGGGTTGTTTAATGACAAAAAAACACAATCTAGTCCCTTCTTTCACCAAGTAAAATAATGTGGTGCAGTGGGCCTTTCCACAACAGATTCCTGTTCAGACAGAACTATTACCTGTTTAATAAAGTTTTGGCCTTTGATATGAAACCTTAGGAAGTTCTGTAGAGCGTGGTTGAGTTTTCAGAAAGGCACATACATCCCCTAGTGTGATGGTACCACCACATTTAAAGAAATAAAATCGTCCACCTTAGATAATGAGCTTTCCGGGATCAGGAGCTGTGTTACTGCTTTCACAGGTTAAGTGCTGGAAACGATGGGCCAGCCTAGAGATAGCAATTGAGTGATAGATGTGTGCAGTTAAAAAACCCAACTACATTTTCATTAGGAACAAGGAGAAAATAAGATGCAGATTTTATTTTATTTCAAGGAGAGCAAAGCAACACTACTGTACTGAAAATGAAACATTAATTTTCATCCATTTTTGCTTGTGTAATAAGATGGCCTAGAAACAAAATGAGAAAACTGTGAACATTTAAGATAGGAACTATGCATTCAAGGCAAGTTTAACCTATATTTTCATTAAAATCTAATTTAATAGTGATTTAGAATAAAGGCATCCGGGGCTGCATTTTATTAAATTTTATTTTCTTGCATTAAATACCAGTCAGTAGATGAAGAATTGCTCTTCATGTAGAAAAATACACTGATAAAATAATAGATACTTTTTTTTTTTTGGTTAGGATATACAGTTTTAATTGGATTTAAAGCATTTTTATGAGTCTTTCTCTTTTTGCCTAACTCAGTTGTTGAAAATACCCAGGCTCTTCAATAATATGCTCTTCTTGCCGTAAATGTTCTTTTATTTTTCAGAACTGCCTGCTGGTTGGGAAAAGATTGAAGACCCTGTCTATGGTGTCTACTATGTAGAGTAAGTGCCCATTCACAATCCACACATTAGTTTATACCTCTCTATAATTATGTACATTTGTGTTAAGTACAGCCTGACATCATTAAAAGGCACAAATCAATTAACAATGTTAATTTTATGATGAAAATATGTATGCATATTTTAATGAATGAGAAAATATTCAATAAATCTGAAAATAGCAAATCGTATTATTAAATTCACATGGGCAGGATCCATGTCTTTTGTTCACCATTGCATCACAAAGGCCCAACATGGTCCTGGCATATGGCAGGTACTTAATGAGTATTAGTTGAATGAATGAATGAGAAAAGCCAGGATTCAGTAGACCAGATGAAGAGGAATTGTTTATCTTTACAAGGAGTATCTGATTTGTCTACTTTTTGCTCTGCCCAGATCTGAACTCCTTAGCGATTACTTCTTTATTCATTCATACATTCCAAAAGGTTCAGCCAGGTAATTTATGAAATGTTGCCAGGATTGAGGAGGAAATGGAGAACTAGCCTAGGATGCAGACCTTGTGTGTTTCTTTGTTTCTCTCTTGCCTGAGGTTCTTGTTTCCCATTTTTAAAAGTCTAAAACCCTCGTGACTTCTTTATTGTGTGCCTTATTCTAGCATTGGGCTCCCACTTTTTCCTTTCATCAAAACTATTGATTGATAGGATAATACTAAAAGAAACCAAAGGTTAGGCCATTGAAATAAATAAATAAATAAATAAAAATTTTAAAAAAGCTTTGTATTATATAACTTCCTCTGAGAAAAATGAGAGGTAACAAATAAAAGTTCCTTCAAAAGAAGCGAATGCCATATAAATGTTGTAGAAACATAATCCTACCTGCCACACTGAAGATGTAACTATCATATTTTCTTTCCTTTTTGCTGCTGGTGATGAAAAGTCATTTGTATAATACCCTGGTGATAAGAACATAAGACAAAAAAAGTGCCAGGCCATAAAATAGATGCCCAGCATCTTACTGTAAAAATTATGAGTTCAATATAGCAAGTGTCCTTGGCCAATACTAACTTTCACCTCCACTTTGCCTGACGAGGGATTGGTAATATGGGGCATCAGAGAGGCAAACTTGGCTGTCCCTCTGACCCTCAGAAAATAAATTTCTGTTGTGTGCCCCAAAGATCATCTTTCTCACAGATGTACTGTGGGGTTTTTACTATATGAAGCTCATTTTGAATTGTCCCTCAACTAGTTTATGCATTAAGAGAGAGCAGGAACAGATGACAAAAGCTTTGATGGGTGAAGACGCAAGTTGTTATCTTACCATGCAGTTCTCCCTGTGTCTTTTCAGACTTATGTGCCTGTTAATGATAGACCATTTCTTAGAATGAAATTGCTGCAAGAATTAGGAAATAAATATGTAGGCCTTTAATAGAAATTAAGAGCAATCAGTCTATCCATTCTATTGATAAGCCTGCTTAAAAAAATAAAGCCTAGCTTTTTAAAAAAACTTAAGAGTTCTAAATAATCATAATAGTATGCTTCTAAACTTCTAATAAACTATTATTTTGAATTAAGAAAAATAAGTCCGGGCATGGTGGCTCATGCCTGTAATCCCAGCATTTTGGGAAGCCAGAGGACATGGATCACTTGAGGTCAGGAGTTCAAGACCCACCTGGCCTGCATAGTGAAACCCCATTTCTACTGAAAATACAAAAATTAGCCAGGTATGGTGATGCACGCTTGTAATCTCAGCTACTTGGGAGGCTGAGGCAGGAGAATCGCTTGAACCTGGGAGGCAGAAGTTGCAGCGAGCCAAGATCGCACCACTGCACTCCAGCCTGGGTGACAGAGAGAGACTCTGTCTCAAAAAAAAAAAAAAAAAAGAAAAACATATATGTATATGCTTACGTTGTGTGTGTATATATATGGTGTATATATGTGTATATATACATATATATGGTGTGTGTGTATATACACACACATATACATATATATGGTGTGTGTGTGTGTATATATACATATATATATACACACACATACACACACATATATGGTGGCGTGTGCCACCATACCCGGCTAATTCTTGTATTTTTAATAGAGATGGGGTTTCACCATGTAGGCCAGGCTGGCCTCAAACTCCTGACCTCATACGTGTGTGTGTGTGTATATACATATATATACATATGTATATATGTATACACGCGTGTATGCATATGTATATATGTATACACGCACATACGTGTACATACACTAAATAAGGCCATAGCAAAAAAAATTTGTATATGTATGCATATATAGAGGTGTGTGTATGTGTGTGTGTATTTTTCATTTTGCCATGCAGGGCCTAATTAGTTTTGTAGCCATCTAAGTGTTTGGATCTTTTTCATTTTGAGCACATCACGTCTACTTAGTTAACTTTATTTGGAGTCTCTCTGCCTAAGGCCTGTACTTTTAATTGTGCCTCCATGTTTAGTGATCAAAATAGTTAACAGATGTGAGTCGAGTTCTTTGTTTAACTTCATTGTTTGGATGAATGCTTATGCTTCTGTGAACCCTACTGTAGACACAGCAGTTCTGGCATTGTATGTTATAGACAGTGTCACACAGCCACGTTAATCTTATTTTTCAATAATTCCTTAATCTACTTCTTGTTGAATTAAAGCAACTTCCCCTGTCAGGTGGTATCTTGGACATTTGGAAGGAGGTCAGTGGTTAAAATCCTGGGATTTGAAAGCGGAAAACCCTGAGCTTGCATGCCTGTTTACTGCTTACTAGCTATATTATGCTAGATGAATTATTTAACTGCCCAGACACTTACTTTCCTTATTCATAAGATATGAATAAAAATAGGACTTACCTCCTGGCATTTACTGAGGAGTTTTAAATAAAATGCATATAAAACTAGTAGCCAGTGCTTAGTGCATATAAGCAGTCAGTAATGGAAACTTTTCATTTTTATTTCCTCTTTCTAACTGAGCATTTTAACACACAAGGGTTAGCATCTCGCATTTTAACACACAAAGGTTAGCATCTCAGACCACCTGCTTTGCTCAGTTTGAATCCAGGGACTTGGTCTGACTGGCATTTTGCTGGTGGGATGAAGTGTTTCAAGCTGAATACTATTTGCTGACTTCCCCAGCCACATCAACAGGAAGACGCAATATGAGAACCCAGTTCTTGAAGCCAAACGGAAGAAGCAGCTTGAGCAGCAGCAGCAGCAACAGCAGCAGCAACAGCAGCAGCAGCAGCAGCAGCAACAGCAGCAACAGCAGACAGAAGGTTGGCCTCTTTCCTCGAGGCTTTTTCTTGAGCAGGGGAGCATGGGGCGAAATCTGAGCACTGACACCCTCGTGTGGTCAGAACTGGCCTTGATGATTGAGTCCTCTCTTGCCACACTGAAGAGTTAATGTCCTGTGGGGAGGAAGAGAACCCCATCTCCATGTTCCTCTGGATGGCCAAAGTGGAGATCCTAATTCAAAGGCACCCAAATCTCCCCTGTAATTTAGAAAGGAGCATCGTTTAGATCAGAGAACTTTGGGGAAGTTGTTCTCTCGCCCCCGCAGTATTTGCATTGCAACTGGTAGCTAAATCCAAACCACTTTTAGCATTTTTACTTTAAGTGGAGTTACTGGGCATGAAACTAACTTTTAATTTTAGGAACGTTACATGCAAAGAATCAGAAAGAGCTGGTAGTTTGGGGTGCTTTTTAAAAATTACAGACTAATTCATGCTGTTTGTAAAAATATGGGCAGTTCAGGAGTATAGAACATTAAATTCCCTTCCCATTTTTGAAGATAAGCCCTGTGCAGAAATTTTCTAGGGATATACATATATGCATATTTTAACAAAAATCTTATAATAATTTATACATATATAGTATGTATGTGAGACCTCTTTTCTCACTTTTTATTTCTTGCACATATTTCAAAGTTAGCTAATATAGATTTAGCTTATACTTTTTAATGGTTACATAATGTTCCATTTTATGAATGCCTCTGTTTTATTTAGCCATTCGTTTATTACTAGATACTCTGGCTTTTCCCACTTTTTCATTCTGATCTTTTGGAATCATAGGCTTAATACCCTCCTCAATATAATATGTGAATATGAAACAGAATATCAAGTGTAGTGCTTCTGTTACTATAATATTGAATATAATAAATATAAACCATAGCCCACAGGTTGGCAAACTTTTTCTGTAAATAGCCAGATAATAAATATTTTAGGCTTCGTGATTCATACAGTCAGTCTCTGTTAGAACTACTCACTTCAGCCATTGTAGTATACAAATAGCTGTAGACAATATGTAAATGAATAGATGTAGCTGTGTTCAAATAAAGCTTTATGGGCACTGTAATTTGAACTTCACGTCATTTTCATATGTCACAAAGTATTCTCTTTTTTATTACTTTTCAACCATTTGAAAATGTAAGTTATTCTTGGCTCACAGGTTATATCTAAACAGGAATTGGCCCCAGATTGGCTAGTGGGCCATAGTTTGCCAACCACTGCCCTGGACTGTACAGTTTAGAGAGAGTAGGTATGTATGTCTATGTATATTCACCCATTGAAATGTTATCTACCTTAGTCTCTTTTCTAGCTAAAAAGAACTCTTCTCATATACATTTAGTGGGTACAAATGCAGCTTTTGACACATGGGTATATTAAGTGGTGGTGAAGTGTGGAGTTTTAGTGTAGCCATTACCCAAATAGTATACATTGTACCCATTAAGTAGTTTATCATCCTTCATCCCCCTCCAACCCTTCCAAGTTGCCATGGTCTCTTATTCTACACTCCATGTCCATGAGTACACATTATTTAGCTCGCACTCATAAGTGAGGACATGTGATATTTGACTTTCTGTTTCTAAGTTGTTTCACTTAAGATAATGGCCTCTAGTTCCATTCATGTTGCTGGAAAAGACATATAATTTTATTCTCTTTTTTATGGTTGAGTAGTGTTCCATGGCATACATACCACATTTTCTTTATCCAGTCATCCACTGATGGACACTTAGGTTGATTGTGTATCTTTGCTATTGTGAATAGTGCTGCAGTAAACATGCAAGTGTAGGTGTCATTTTGATAGAATGATTTCTTTTTCTTCAGGTAGATACCCAGTAGTGGGATTGCTGGATTGTATGGTAGTTCTGTAGAGGGTGCAGTCATTTACATTCTCACTGACGGTGTATAAGCATTCCCTTTTCTTCACATCCTTATCAACATCTGTTATTTTTTGTCTAAAAAGAATTTTTTTAATGTATCTTTCCTGAGCTGATAAAACTTGGTAGTGTTAGAAAGTGCCGTTTGCAAATGAGAATGTACAATTGAAAGTATTAGCTGAGCTGGAAGTGATTCTGGGGTGCCATCTCAAGGGTCACTCACTGTGAGTTATGTCTGGCCTTCCAAGGGGAATAAGATTACAATTAGGACTCAGGAATATTTGTAATAGGTCTCATTTGGATTTCAGAGATAGCAGAAGAGAGCACTATTAGCAATCTGCTGAAATCTACCTTCATCTTCCTCCCTACCTAAGCCAAGCTGGCCTCAGCAGCCCAGCTCATGTCTCAATCACATTAGAGAAATTTCTCCCTTATACACATGCCATTAGTTGGCTGTATATCTTTCCTGACAGTTTTTAACTGACGTTACTTTGGACTTTCCAGCCAGAGAGAACTGGAGTTTTTATTCATTATATCATAATATTTATTTCTTAAAACGTCTTAGACAAGAAAAAAAGAGCTTCATACAGTGAGGTCAGATAACAACTTCTTTTTAATCTAAGCTATCTGCCCTTGGTTTATTGCTTTGGATATTATTAATAATAAGGGGAATCATAAGGAAGTCAATGAGCCATTTGAAGGAAAAATAGGAAACTTTCTTTTCTTTTTCATAGAATGGACAGAAGATCACTCAGCCCTTGTGCCTCCTGTTATTCCAAACCACCCGCCAAGCAATCCAGAGCCAGCCAGAGAAGCTCCACTTCAGGGTAAAGTACTTGTTTTTCTAATTGTGTTATGGTTTTAGCTCAAAATCTAATTTTTTTAAAGGTATTTTAAAAAGTGCAATCTTGTAACCCCCAAGTCATTCCTTTGATAGTGAAAACCATAAATAATAAAAGCAATGATAAATGTATTGTTAGACTTGTCAAGAAAAATTAGGAATCTTCCTGAATAATTTTTTTCCAACTATTTGTAATATTTTTAAAATAAAGACTACTTGTTAAATGATCATTCAAACCAACGTTTCTCAATGTCAGCACCATTGCCATTTTGGGGTAAGTAAATCTTTGTTGTGTGGGGCTGTCCTGGGCATTGTGAGATGTCCCCTGGCCACTAGATGCCAGTAGCACACAGCCCACCTCTCATTGTGACAAGGAAATTGTCCCCAGACATTGTCAGATGTCTCTGGGGAGCAAACCCATCCCAGAGATAGGAATCACTGATTTAGAGATCACAGATATTTAATAGTATGTTAAAAAAGATAAATCTGAAACTCAGCATTAGATATTTCAAGATTCTAGCCAACATATTAGGTTTTGTCTAAGACTTTCCTATAAATGCAAATGGTTTGATATTGTGTTTTCAGTTCTCATTCCCTATTCTTGCTGCAGTTTTGGTATTTATGCATGTTTACAACGTTTCAATGTAACTTGTTTGTTTACATTCACACATAGGATGAGGCCTTTATAGAGGATTATTCTTGAAAATTGGAAGTTCCAGAACCTTGCAACTTTCAGGCCTCATTACTCTTAAATTATAGAAAATATTTGTGTTTAGTTTTCTTTTTCTTTTAAACAAGCATCATGTTTGACAGAGTTGGGGAATGTTTGTGGTACAGAAGCAATAAAAATACTATAAAATTTTCCTTCCTTTCTGCATTTTAAAAGAGATTTAATTGTGTTAGATATAAAATGATAAGTAGAATAATTCATTTTTAAAATTTTAATTCCTTCATTATAATTTTCGTAAGAAAGAAATTGTTTCTCTGCTAGCTGACATTGTCATGAGATTAGAATTAATATCAATTTATGTAAAATAATTTCAGGCATGAATATACTTTTTAATGGTGATAATGGCTTTAATAAAGATAGGATATAGTAGATAATAATATGTTGATTAATATCAGTATGACTGTGGATTCCTCAGTTTTGTGGGGTTTTTTGTAAATATAAAATTCCTTCTGTCGGCTCATGCCTTCTTACCTTCCCCTCTCTCACAGTAAGTTAGCCTCCTTTCAGTTCTTTTAACTAGCAAAACTGTGGACCGCTTCTGAGCCTGTGCAAAGGCTGTTCCTTCTATTTGCAGTTTTCTTTTCCTCCTACTTCTTACTCTGCTAACTCCTGTTCACCTCAGGTCTTTGCTAGATTCCCCTACCATGTTTACTCTTAACCATCCTGTACTTCACATTTATGAAATTTAACCGTTGTAACTAGTGATCATTTATGTGCTATTATTTAAAAATAGTTTCCTCATTAGACTTTAAATCCTATGGAGACAAGAGACTGTGGTTCTCTGTTTTTTGTTTTTTCACTGTGAGATAATCCCAAACAAGGCATAATCCGTTGGTATCTATTTCTCATGACATTATTGAGTGAAACAGTATCCATCCATCTATCTATCCATCCATCCACATATACATATAGAATAGCCAACCAGACTTTCTTACATAACTATCTTAGAAATTAAGTAAATTAAAGCTATAAAGGTTCAGGTTCTGGGTGCCAAATGCTTAGTGCACCAACTAAGAATTGAGATGGTATTTATCTGTATTAGACACTTCATCTCAGATTCTTTCTTTTCTTTCACTCAACCTTTTTTTCTTTTTCTTTTTTTCTCTTCTTCCTTACTTCCTTATATCTCTTCCTTATTTCCTTAGTCATCTAATGATTGACTAAGACATCCACTGGTGCCTTCGTTCAGGCTTCTATAACAAGTTGCCATAGACTAGGTGGCTTAAACAACGAACATTTATCTATCAGTTCTGGAGAGTCGGAAGTCGAAGATCAAAGTGCTGGCAGAGCCAATGTCCAATGAGGGTCCACTTCCTAGTTTACAGACGGCCATTTTCTCACTGTGTCCTCACGTGGTGCAGAGTAGAGAGAGAAAGGACTAGTCCTCTTCCTCTTCTTATAAGAATAAGCCCATCATGTGGGCTCCACTCTCATGGTATAATCACCTCCCAAAGGCCCCACTTCTAAATGCCATTCAACAGTGTCTGGGAATGTTCAAGCTCATTGAACTTTCCTTGGGATTGACTCATTTATTCTTACAACCCTTCTACTGTGTAGTCTCTCTGTTGATCCACACCTTTCAAGCACCTTTATAATCTTTGGAATATAACTGATACCAAAGAAACCAGTTAAAATCCATACCATTTGACTCCAAGTTGTGATTTCAATAAACATTAACCTAAACTTAAGCCTCATTGGTTATAAGTCTGGGTTACCTGCCTACTGGTTAAGTGTCTTGATTAGCCATCTAGTGTTTAATCTTGGGCAGTATCTAGCGTTGACAGACTGTCAGGAAGAAGCCATATAGCTAATTTGGTTAGATTGTTTGGTAGTAATTTTGCAAAGTTCACAGGCCAACTAAATTCTCCCCTGATCAAGGGTGTACTTCTAATCCCAGCAAGTGATAATTTGGAGATTTGCTCTTATGAAAACTCTCTAGCTTCAAGCTTATGCTTGGAGATAGATTTTTGCAGCTACCCCTCTACCACACTCCCTCTACCACCACCACATTCAAAACAATAACTCATTTATTGAGCTCTTAATTATGTGCCAAGTACCTTCCTAGGCACTTTACCTACATTATCTGCTACGGTTGTTTCTCACAACTATCGTATGAAATAGGTATCATCATTACCTCCATTTATGTCTGTGATACTCTGGCAGAGAGGTTTAGTAACTTGCCCAAGGCCATATAGCCACTAAGTAGTAGAGTACAGATTTGAACACTATTCATGAGGAATAGTTTAACTTCTGGTTGAAAGGTTTTTGGCTGTTTTGGTTTTTGTGTGATACCTCATTTGTGTAGTCTAAATCTATGTTGTTCAGTATGGAAGCCGCTGGTTACATGTTGCCATTTAAATTTAAATAAATTACAGTTAAAAAATAAAACAAAATCAGTTTTTCAGTCTCACTAGCCATATTTCAAGGGCTCAGTGGCTATATGTGACTAGTGGCTGTCATGTTGGACAGTGCAGACACAGAACATTTCCATCATCACAGAAAGTGCCATTAGACAGTACTGGTCTAGGGTATTTAAACAGTAGTGTCAAGAAGTGACATTTCTTTCCCCTCCCCGCAGCCTGGCAGGGAAACATGCACCTAAGGTTCATTCAGGTGCAGAGTTTCGGGGCAAGACCCAGAACATCCTGATCAGTGAGTCTAAGGAAGGAGCTGAAAATAGGTACATTTTTAAAAGCTACCCAGGTGATTTTCCCTAGGTAAGACACAACCAAGCCTTACCACTGGTGACTGGTAAACAGAGGTTAGGATATTAGAAAATTACACGTACCACAGGGCTGCAGCTGAGAGCTCCAAATTCCACTGCTTGTGGGGTGAAAGGCATTTCTTTCCAAAAGCTGCATTAACTAATGATCCACCCCTATGTAAAAAGGAATAAAATGTGCATAAATGTGAAACCCTCTGATCTTCCCTCCCTTGTTAAACATTGGAAAAGGAAGTCAGTTGTATAATTTGAAAGCTCTGCCCTTGTCTTTATTAAGTTAACATTCTCAGCACAAAATATGTTAATGTATTTTTTTTAATTAGATAAACTGCCAGGCACATTTTCACATTTTCTAACTTAGCCTATAATAAGAGTGAAAAGCTCCAACACCCAAACACCTCTTTTCAGCCTTCTCAAAGACATGTTAAGTATCATTTCTATGTGCTTTTATTTGTTCATTCATTCACTCACTCAACAAACATTTTTGGAGCACATAAAATGTACCAGACAATATTCTAGATACTGGATATAAATACAAAAATCCTCATAGAGCTAACATTCTAGTGGTTTTATGTACCTGCGTATCAATGCCCCTCATGCATGGGAGTGGGGGATAGTAAGAAAACCAAAACAGTAAATAAGATGTATATTCTGTTGGAAGGTGGTAAATGCTAAGGACAAAACTAAAGCAGGGAAAAGGGATTGGGAATGTATGTTGGAGGTGCTGCAATTTTTAGCAAGGTGGTTAGGGAAGGTCTTGCTGCGAAAGTAATGGCTGTTGATGATGTCTCTGCGTAACTGAAATGTGTTTCCCTTCAGGGCGCCTGGAATGCCCTAGCAGCACCTGCTGCAAGAGTGCAGGCCACTCACCCTCCTCCCCCTAAAGTAAACTTTGGGGGTTATCTTACCTCACCTCGATTTCCATCTGATAATTATCTTGGCAGCTGTCTCCCCAAAGCTCTTAGTACAAGTGACACCACCCTCCCGATGCCTTAGCGGATGACTTTGCCTGGCGAATCCTTCCAAGTCCTGCCTTTCTTTAGCCACTGTGACAGGGCTGTAGTTTGTCAGGCTTCCAATAAGCTTTAGGACTGTGCTAGAGAGCAGGTTAGCGAAAGGACCTCCGATTGCCGGCCATTTAAAAGAGCCTTCTTTGCAGGAGCCAGAAACTTTTAAAATATGCAATTAAAAATTGTATGCATGCCCAGAGACCTTTTAAGCCCTTTTAGATATAACTAACCAAAAATAACTTTCTTTCCTAGGTGCCAGGCTCCTAGTGAAGGGGTGTAGGGAACTAATTTCTCCCTCTTTCTCTCTCCCTTTTTGTTTTGGATAACATTTTTAATAGAAAAGAAACAGGGCAGATGGAGAAGCTGTGTGTGGCAAGAACAGGGTATAAGAAGTAAGTACAGTTAGAAGAGATGAAAGAAGCTGCTCATGAAATTAGGTCTACTACTTGGGATAATCAGAGAAGTTCCAATAAGTTTCTCGATTACAGAGAAGTGCCTAGTAAAACCCAAAAGAAAATGTTTTGGTTTATGTTCAAAATGTTATTTGTGAATGTATCAAGAAAACGTAATAAAACCTTAGGTAGCATGTTTGGGAGTAATTTAGCTATATCTCTATCTGTACATTTATTTTATTTTTATTTTTATTATTTTTTTGAGACAGAGTTTCACTCTTGTTGCCCAGGCTGGAGTGCAATGGCATGATCTCAGCTCACTGCAACCTCTACCTCCTGGGTTCAAGTGATTCTCCTGCCTCAGCCTCCCAAGTAGCTGGAATTACAGGCATCCGCCACCTCATCTGGCTAATATATATATATTTTTTTCTTTTTTAAAGTAGAAACGGGATTTCACCATGTTGGCCAGCTGGGTCTCGAACTCCTGACCTCAGTGGTCCACCTGACTCAGCCTCCCAAAGTACTAGGATTACAGGCATGAGCAACCACGCCCAGCCTAACTTATTTTAAATAAGACAGCTGAATTCGGAGCTGTATGGCTACTGTTAGTAACTACTTAGTTTAGGGATTTTTTTTTTTTTTTTGCTGGGGTTTCTTTGTTTTTTGGTTTGTGTTTTTTAAACAAATATCCTAAACTTGTTTTAAACAGTAAATCTTAGCCGTAGACATGTGTTGGCTATTTCATAAATTTAATAAAAGGTGCAAATAAATAGGAAAAATAGTTGAATTTGGAGTTCAATTCAAAGTGAATTGACCCTTAATTTTGAAAATAGTCATTCTACATTTTTGTCAAATTATTATTTGTGACTCTAATATGTTTTCTGGTATTATCTGTGCATTTTCAGCCTGGATTTTCTGTTTGATTAAAACTAAAGTTTTTGTTCAGTTGATTTTTCGAGTGGAAGCCAGGGCTAAAGCAGCACATGAGAAGCCATATAGCAAAATAAAATTAAAACAAAAGACATAAAACAGACCAGTTCCATTTGCTGTGAAGGGGTTTGTAGCAGCTCAGTTCCTGTCAAACTGCATGAATGGAAACCAAGAAGTATGTCACCTGACAGGGACTAGTTTCATCCCTCTCTTGTAGCTGCTTTTGGACCCTGGAGTTGACATACTCTGTGCTTTACCTCCTTCCATCAACACTGGGGCCTAGGAACATCCTTATTCCTCAGATTAAGAGAGGACTTTCTTAAGATGCTATGTGCCCAAAGGCTCTAGGGCATAAGCTTGAAGAATTATCTATATGTTGTCTCAAATCTTGTTAAATTCTCCTTTTCACCAATGGTGACATTCCTTATGCTTTTCTTATTTTAATCCAGGCAAACCTTTTTTTACACGAAACCCTTCTGAGTTGAAAGGCAAGTTCATTCACACAAAGCTGCGGAAAAGCAGTCGTGGCTTTGGCTTCACGGTGGTTGGAGGGGATGAACCTGATGAGTTTCTGCAGATCAAGAGTTTGGTCCTAGATGGTCCTGCTGCATTGGACGGCAAGATGGAAACAGGTAGCGTCCACATGGCCTTAGTGTGTTCTGTGTGGTGAGACTCCAACCCAGAACATAAAGATGTGCAATCATGACATTGTTTGGTTTGAGCAAGACCAGACAGCGTCATGATTGCACATGTTTATACCTTTAAACACCTTGAGAATGAGCCCGGTCTCCACATTATATAAATTCATCCCTTGGGGCAGATTGAAACCTGTGAAGTCATTTTAACTTTGGGAAACTGTGTGACTACAGTAAAGCAATAAGTTACTAAAAATGTAGATCCCCATTTAAATAAATGAATTCTAAACTTGGATTTCTGCAGTGAGATTTTTTTTTAGGAGAAAGCTCCAATGTTCTTTCAGGGATTATTATATTCCCATTAGCAGGGAAGATACTAGGTGCTGAAAGAACACTTTATTAGCTGTTAAAATCAGTAATAGAAGCAGTTTATGCCCTATAGTATCACACCCATGTGCAGTTTCAGTTCAGTTTCATATTAGTGGAATATATTATAATACTGATGGCAATTTTATGGGTGCTGTTTTCTTAACCCCCACACTCTTGCCTTCTACAGGGGATGTGATTGTCAGTGTGAATGACACCTGTGTTTTGGGACACACACATGCTCAAGTTGTGAAGATCTTCCAGTCCATCCCCATTGGTGCCAGCGTGGACCTTGAACTCTGCCGAGGTTATCCATTGCCTTTTGATCCAGATGACCCCAATACAAGTTTAGTGACCTCGGTAGCTATTTTGGATAAAGAACCAATTATTGTGAATGGGCAAGAGACCTATGATTCACCAGCTAGCCACAGTAGTAAAACAGGCAAAGTCAATGGCATGAAGGATGCCCGGCCAAGCAGCCCAGCGGATGTGACTTCAAATAGTTCTCATGGTTATCCTAATGACACTGTTTCTTTGGCTTCCTCCATAGCCACTCAGCCAGAACTCATAACTGTTCATATTGTCAAAGGGCCAATGGGCTTTGGTTTTACTATCGCAGACAGTCCTGGTGGGGGTGGCCAAAGAGTGAAACAGATTGTTGACAGCCCAAGGTGCCGAGGCCTGAAAGAAGGGGATCTCATAGTGGAAGTTAATAAGAAGAACGTACAGGCCCTAACTCACAACCAAGTGGTGGATATGCTGGTTGAGTGTCCTAAGGGAAGTGAGGTCACATTGTTGGTGCAACGAGGAGGTAAGTAGGTTTGTTTTGTTCTTTGAATTTTTTTTTTTAGTCCCAAATTCATTGCTTAACTTACTCATCTTCAGATGACTACTGGGGGCTTTTTAAATGTGTATTCCTTTAAGTTCGTTTTTATTTAAATGCTTCAAAATGCCTACTGATTTCTCCAAATACTAACCTCTTTAGCATAAAAATTATGGTTTATACATTATGACAGACATATGCAGTTAGAGTGGTACTTTAAAACAGAAATCAGATTATGCCTTTTTAAAACGTTAAGATTTAAAAAACCTAACTTGGGTGTGGTAGTACCTACCTGTAGTCCTGGCTGCTTGAGAGGCTGAGATGGGAAGATCACTTGAGCCCAGGCATGTGAGTCCAGACTGGGCAACATAGTAAGACCCCATTCTCTAAAAAGTGTTTTTTAAATAAAAAATAGTAATAATAGCCTGTATCCTTTAAGCCTCCTGAACTTGGCCTGCATAGCCTGCAAAATGTGGCTGTGATCACTCCTCGAAACTTATCTCATGTTCCTCTCCTCCATCTGATGGTGCTTTATCCACATTGGCTGCTTATATGGAACTCCTTTAATGCTTCAAGCCTTTTCTTGCCTCAGGCCCTTTGTACTTACTGTCCCCTCTACCTGGAATGGTCCTTTCCCAGCTCTTCCCAGCTGGCTCAGTCTCATCTAGGTCTCCTTCTGAGAGAGGGCTTCTCCCATCACTTTTTCTAAAGTAGCTCCCAACACTTCCATATAATCTTGATCACATTTCTTCGTAACCTTGATCATCATCACCTTTTTAGCACAAGGCATTATTTCATGCTTTTATTTATTTTTCAGTTTTTGTCTTTCATGAGAATATAAATTTCCATAAAGCTAGGGCCCGTGTATGCATGTGGACAGCTGTTGTCCCCAGCATTTAACACAACACCTGACTCCTTTTAGGTATTTATGAATGAATAGGTATTAAGTGAATAGGTGTGTGATTATTTCTATTTGGCAGAAACAAGAGGTCTGCTAATCATATTAAACACTTCCCTCAACATGCTCACATTTTAATGAAGTAGTTGAGGATCTCAGAGATTTGGGTTATTCTAAATCTTTAGGCATTAAACTTCCTCCTTTCTCCTTGAGTCCACATCCCACCCTCTGCTTCACCAGAAAACACAGGACCTCACACTGAGCAATATTTTCCACCATATTGAAATGCCTTGCTCTTGGAATACGTACATATATGTGATTAGTCGTGACTGATAGTTTCACACAGTGGGCCTGAGAATGGCTGTTTCCCTGATCCTTGTCACCATGATTTGTTTCATGAACAACATATTCAGGCCTTTTGAAAAGAGATCAAGAACCATACTTTTATTTCCTTTTGGTTTGTTGCAACTGAGGAGTTCATTTGTGTCACAGCAGCCCCGATTCTCATGTTTTCGTGAATCTGTGTGTTCTGCGATCAGAATGGCTGGGGTCATTTGAAGGAAACCCGAAATACAGAGCACCTATCTATGTGAATTGAAATGCTCAATGAGCCTGGCTTAGGCAGTTACAAAAGGCACTGTGCAAATTTTATTTTTCTAAATGTCGTTTCCACTAACTAATTTTCAAGTCCCTTCTTGTACCTAGATCACTTGACTGCCCAGAGAACTGGTTTTAAACAGTAGCCAAGATGTATGTAGTGGGAAATGACTTGGGTATAAGAACGATTATGACAATAATGATGATGGTGATGGTGAAACCTGGCACTTATAGAAGAATCAGTGATAGACAAAGCACTTTCATACCTGCACCTACCTCTCCTCTGATGTTTGTCACTTTGCTGTGAAGTAGGAAGGTGCCACCCCACAGTAGTTCTGAGCTGTTCACCCTGGCTCTGTGGTTTCCAGTCCAATGTTCTGTCCCACTTAACTGAGTGACACTGATTTTTGTATAGTTGCTTAATACTGTGACTGACAACCTGGAAACTTTCAAATGGTTCTTGGTACATCAGGTGCACCTCTGTTTCAGCCACTGCTCATTTGACAGACACCAACCACCTTGTTCTCCAAACTCATCTATCTGCTTTCTCATTTCTGTTATTGATGTGTTAAGTTTATTATCTCTTTAGATTCACTTCTAAGGACACCAAACATAAAGTTTCATTATAGCCAACTAACTTACACACTTAATGAACCATATTGTAATGAATTTGCCTAAGCCAGCAAACAACTGATTATAGAAACATACTCCTTGATTTTATTTTTTATTTTATTTTTTTTGAGGCAGGGTCTCACTTTGTCACCCAGGCTGGAGTGCAGTGGTGCCATCTCAGCTCACTGCAGTCTCAACCTCCTAGGTTAAAGTGATCTTCCTGCCTCAGCCCCCCAAGTAGCTGAGACTATAGGTGCATGCCACCACTCCCGGCTGATTTTTGTATTTTCAGTAGAAACTATTTCTCCATGTTACCCGTGCTGGTCTTGAACTCCTGTGCTCAAGGGATCCACCTGCCTCGGCCTCCTGAAGTGCTAGAATTACAGGCATAAGCTGCCATGCCTGACTATACTCCTTGATTTTAAATATGTTTGCATTCTCTCTTCTTAATTCCCAATGCCATCTTCTTATTAATGCTGTTACATTTTATAACATTTATATGAAAAATCCAGAATATATCACCATATTCATCAACATCTACATAGTTTATTTCAGAACATGAGTAATTTAAAATCACTGTGACATCAGCAGTCTTTAAAATACACCATATGTCTTGTGTTTGATTTATGTATAGGATAGAAAGTTTGTACATCTGCACTTGGCAGGCTAGCGCCAGATACTATTAATCTTTCTGGAAGGCATATAAATATATTTGTTTCTGCCATACATTAGTTGCTTGAATCAGAGCTGACGTTTAATCATCTCTTCTGCATAGCGGGGGTATAATGAGAAGGCTTGATGAAGGTATAAAACAACAGCTAGGTTGAATGAGAAAGTAAATGACCACTTCACCGATTCTTTCTAATGAATCTGATTTATTTTGTAACTGCTAGTAAGATGACTGATAAACTCATCTACACTGTTCCACGAGTCTCAGGAATTCCTGTCATGAGGTTGTAGCTTTCTGTGCTTTAAAGAACGGGCCATTTTTACTTTGGGACAGAACTGGCTTTTATGTTTGTAGCATCCATTTTAATTCCTAATCTCTAGAGCTTGTTTTTGACATTTGTTCTTGTCAAGATCTAATACATTTCATTTTTAGTGTTTTTAGTCCATCCCCCTTCCCTCATCTGGAAATCGAGCTGAAAGTTGAAATATCATTTGTAAATGTCCAGGGTCAGTTTCCTCAGTCAGGCTTAGAGCTGCTGTGCAGTGTTCATCTATACTCCCAAGTAGCCAGGACCAGTCCTGATTTGCTTACAAATCTCCTCTTCGTCAACATCTCCCTGCTTGCCAGTCGATCACTCAGGTTTTTAAAGGGCAGCTCCTTTCTGTGTCTGGTTCCCCTCTTCCAATTGTGTGTCCTTACTCCTCCCCCTCTGCTGTGCAGTCAGGAAAGTGCTTTTTATCCTTTTATTTTGCACACAGCATCTGCATTCAGAAATTCTGTCACCTGACACCAGTGTGCATGTAGAGGCTTCTTTGAAGTGTTTGGAAAATCAAGTTAGTTTGTGGATTTTTATTTTTAATTTGTAAAAGCTATCGAACTTGTCCCATAAAGATTTTTTACTTTTTTAAAAGAAGGCTCATGTAGATAGCATAACTACCTGTGCCCCTCTGTGTCAAATATTTTGGATATTCAGCAAATTCACACCTATCAGTAGGTGTGACACTCTTTAAGACGTAATTTCATGCTGAGTCACAACACTGTGTTTCAAGAAAAGATTTGGCAACACTGTATGCAAGTGAAGATCCTATGTTTTACTTTTGAAAGAAGGCATGTATTAAAAAGAAAACTGAACCCGGGATGCCAGGAGCTGACCTTGAGTACAAACTCTGCCGGTAAGCTGCTGTATAAGCTGCTGTATGTGCTTGAGAAGGGTACTACTTCTACCCTGACACTTATTTTTTTAATCTAAAAGATGAATGTTTTGAGCTAGAGAATCTTTCAGGCACTCCTTTCTGGCTCAAATTTTATGCATGGGATGACCTTATTGCTGTATAGAGGAGAGACCACAGGACTCTGGAGCCAGAGGATGCAAGTTTAAATCCTGCTCCTGCGTTACTTGCATTGTGACTTTAGGCAAGTCACTTGGCTTCTCTGAGCTTAGACTTCTGAAAAAAATGGGCATTATGTACATAGATTAAATAAATAAGGTAGCATTTGTGCCAGTTCCTGACATAGTACTCATCACATGATTAAGCAATAGTAGCAATTGGGTGGGGAAGGATTGTTTGTATTTTATTTTTTATAAAAAGTTCTAGCTGGGCCATACAGATTGTATGATACTCAGGCATCTGTTTTTTTTTTTTTTGGTTTTTTTTTGTTTTTTTTTTTAAAGAAGTTCTACTGGTAGGTTTTTTTTTCTTCTTCATCTTCTCTTGATACAGGGTCCTGCTCTTTTGCCCACGCTGGAGTGCATGATCATGGCCCATCACAACCTCAAACTCCTGGGCTCAAGTGATCCTCCTGCCTTAGCCTCCTGAATAGCTAGGACTACAGGCATGCGCCATCATGTGTGACTAATCTCTTTTAAAAAATTGTTTTGTAGAGACAGGGTCTCACTGTGTTGCTCAGGTACCACTGGTGATTCTGATGTACAACCAGAGTTGCAAAAAATGTTAGGCTTCTGCCTCCACGGTCCCTTCTAGTTTTGATTCTTTGACCTACAAGTTGGATGAAAATAAGTTTACAAAGCTTATTTAATATTTTCATTTCTGAGTAATGTTCATCTTTTTAAGGCTGTTTTGTAAGTGACAGATTTCTCAGTCTTTCCTAAGGTCCATTTCAGCTCCCACATTCTACATTTTTATACTTCCAAGGAGAATAGAATGGGGACTTGCTGTTGGAGATGCTCGTTTAGAGTGCCATCTCCCACTG